ATTGTTAACTTCTATGACAGATTGCAACAGACTAGAGAGTTTTTTAGGCTCAAGAATAGTAAATTGCTGTTTTATTCTTGTCAGTACCGTTAGAAAAATTCAAGTTGCAAACAAGATTAAGCCTCGATTGAAATTTAGAAATGTTATTTGGAAATGGGCATAATAATCACTAAGTTAGTTTTCAGTTAATGAAGCATCCATTAGTAACCTGTGATGAATACTAATTTGAATCGGTGTTTGTGGAGATTGTAGTAATTTTACTAGTTGAATTCATGAGTCGATTAAAGCTAGACCATCATGGAAAACATGGAAGCACTGGGGGACGTTTAGTTCTAATATGGGTCTCCTCAGCAGCATACACCCACGATCCCCACTCGGGACTAGAAACCATGACCATCAATCTCGAGCGCGAACACTTAACCCCTAAACCACTAAGCCGGCATCAAACGGTATTAATGTCTAACTTCAATCGATTCATGATCGTGTACGACCATTCATCCATTGTCTGAGGTAGGTACCAGTCTCTACCCGACATGGATTGGGCTCCACCGGTCACTACTTCTCATTAGAACTTCAAGAAATTCATCTTGAAGCTATTCGCTACTGAGCATATAAGCATTGTTAGAATGGGGATTCGTAGGCGAGCCCTGCTGAAGAGTCCTATACTAGGACGAAACGGCTTTCCAGTGCTTCCAGGTTTTCAGTGATGGTCTAGTTTAGATCGACACATGAATTTAACAACTAGAATACTGATCTGCTCAGTTCGTTACAACACAGCGACTTATCTAATTCCAATATAACATGATTAATAAAAATGTACAAGTAATATCAATGAAAGTAAAAAATGTAGAATTAGAAGACTTGGTTTGAGAAAGAGAAATGAATTTATGAAGTAAAAGGTATAAATTAATTTAGCAAAACAAGGTCTGTTGGGACAAAATGTTTGAAAACATCTATTTTAGTGCAAGAGATCTTCAATCACATCAATTGTCTCCAAACATCTGTCATAATAATAGTGTGTACCACAACTACATAATTTTTACCTATTACTTTGATTCAAACGAACTGTCACCAACTTCGTGTATTGATATCACTAATCAGTTTCACTGCCCCATGATTCCACTTACCCTATACCTATTCCAAGTGGTAGTTGGTTGATCCTAATAAATCATCAAAACATTCATGAAAATCAAATGTGCGTTTAGTGAATAATGTATACAATTACAACCCTGGATTCAAATATGTCAAGTGTGTTTACATGAACGCACACTTATGCATTTCTTAGTTATTATTGTAATGGTTAGTATACATGTTTGTGAAGTTTCGATGTGATATTAGTTAAAAACTCTTATCTAATATTTTAGATTAAATAACTGTTTAGACTTCGTTTAAAAATCCCCTGCAGTGCTCAACAATAACTTCATTCACAACCATTATAATTCAAATGAGCAATTTGTGTCTCTGTATGTGACATGAATGTCTTGGATTTAACACTTTATAGTTACTTGCTATTGGTAAAATTTGAAATTTAATAAAAATAGCTCACCAATTCACTCTGTGTTTTTCAGTGATTCTTGAATCAATACATATTAATACACTGAAAGGTTACCACCATACAACCATACATTATTTTATAGTTTCTACCCTTTTTCAACTTTGTAACTGACCTATTCATCCAGTATATAACTCGTCCTTAGTTATTCAAACTAATTTTTTTCTTCTCTCATAAGTATTGTTTACTTTACAACTATTCGATATACAATAAAATGTAGAGTCTGCTGGTAGCACCGAGCAACAATGCCAGAATATTTGGGATGTGTTTCTCACCCTCTAAATGCTTCATGATTGGCCTGCGTCAACACCTGAACTAAGGATAAGGAGCAAAGTAATCAGACGCCTAGACAACTTCACTTATCTTGGAAGTCTGGTCAGTACAAATGAATTGTTGTTTGACGAAATCTCAGAACGGATTCAAAAAGATCATTTGGCTTCTGCCAACTTATGTCACCTATGTGGAAGACGAGATATCCGTCTATCAATTAAGGGACGAGTATACTGCGCGGCAGTCGGGTCTGTTTAACTTCATAGTTGCGACACGTGGCCACTCAGAGTAGAAGATACTCGTAAGCTCTCATCTGCTGGGATCATCAGATAAGTAATAGTGAGATTAGACGCAGGGTATTAGGGAATGATGGTAAATCAGTTGATGAGGTTGTGAATCTTCATCGACTGAGATGGTTGGGCCACGTGTTCTTACGTATGCCTGAACACCGATTATCACGATGTGCAGTGCTAACCGGTGTAGGGGATGGTTGAAAGAAAGTTAGGGGCGGCCAAACCAAAACGTGGCACCAGTGCTTGAAGTCACTATTTTGTGGTCTTAGCCATGTTGGTAAATCCAGACTACCTGGTTGGGCTCCGCGTGACTACTGTAACTAATAGTTGGAGGCACTGGGTGTCATGGCTCATGATCGATCACAATGACGTTGGCGTATACACTATTTGTCTTCCCTTAAACTCTCAGATTAAAATTACTTTATACCTTTCTTTTAACGAACCAATTCTTTCTTCCTGTATTATATCCTTATACACAATCTTTCTTTTATATATTACTATAACTGATGTGTTCATCTTGTTGTGCTAATGAGGTTTGGCAACTTGGATCGATATATATATATGTGCCTGGTCCTACATTGTAACTGACTGACTGACTAATATACAGTATGATTACCATTACTAGTTCAATAGTTTCTTTCTATATAAAATCATTTAAACAATTGAATATTTTCACTTATCTATCCAAATAAAGGAACATAACATAATTTATTATTCCATTTGTCAACATGTCAACATTTCCGTTAAAAATAATTATAAAAAACAAATGACTAGATATACATAAATATAGTTTTACAAGGTTGTCAAATATTTCCGCTAAATCATGATTAGACTGCTTTCAGATGTTAGACCACCATTGTAAACCTGGAAGCACTGGACGGCCGTTTCGTTCTATTGTGGGACTCTTTAGCAGTGCGCATCCACGATCCCGCTCGCGAGTATCATTATCAAAGTTTGACTCGATAATTTCGAACAAATTGAACATTGAGTAGATTTCGATGATATAATGAGAAGACGAAGTCTATATTTGAGCAATACATTTCTAACAAACTGATCACACATAATATACTTGTTAAGACATTTTTATATGAAAATTAAAAGACCAATTAAGGGTGAATGAATACATACCTAAATGGCGGCAGAAGCAAATGAATTCCAATGGTCAAATAAGACCACAGGATAGACAGACATCATCCTCCATTGCGAAACATCTGATTGAAACTAGCCATAAAGTTGACACCAAATAAGTATTTGTAGTGTCATACAAAAGCCTTCAAAGACGTATACTAAGGTTTATTGAAGCCTTGGCTGTACGGAAACTGAAACCCCCTTAATGAATTAAAAAATAATATGTTCTTACCCTTAACCTACCCTGGTAATACTGATTTATTATCCAGAGTGGTTATCATATTGTTTTTGTGTACTTCATTTTTCTTTGTTAAGGCTTACTATCAGAAGGGGTTTGTGGAAATGTTAAAAATTTCACAGATTGAAATCATGAGTCGATTAAAGCGTCTTCGTGGATTGGTTGAAGTTAGACATTAACACCGTTGGATGCCGGCTCAGTGGTCTAGTTGGTTAAGCACCTGGCCTCGAGACTGATAGGTCCTTGGTTGGAATCTCGCAGGATGCGGGATCGTGGATGCGCACTGCTGAGAAGTCCCATGCTAGGACGAAACGGCCGTCCAGTGCTTCCAGGTTTTCCATGGTGGTCTAGCTTCAGTTGACTCATGATTTCAATCTGTCAAGGCTTACCTTTAACTTGTCTAATTGACCTTTTATTTTTCATATAAAAATGTCTTAACAAGTATATTACGAGCGATCAGATTGTTCGAAATATATTACATAATTCTGATAAACTTCATCATTGCATTTCGAAATTTTCCAAGTGGACTAATTGTTTTAAATTGGGTAAATTGTTATAAATAAATATAATATATTTGTAGATATCCTGATGAATAGACAAATTAGAATTTTCTGACATCTCATGACTGAGTTCGAGTCCTAGATTCAGTGGCAACTCTGAAATGTATATAGATCTGTCTGACGACTTCAACATAGAACGAGATTTGTTATAATTCTCTCGTATTACAACCCAGCTATTCCTATTGCTTAGTTTTCTTGGACACCGATTCACTCGACAAGTCCCCAAATTAGAACACGGTTGAACGAGAAAGAGTTTATACTCCAAATAACAAGGTTAGATGGAAGTAAGAAGCACAATAGGAAAAACGTTAGTATATTTATAGTTTCTTTACATGAGAAGATTCTAGAGTGTTCTCCAAGTATCGACTAGCGCTGATTGGATAAGAATTAGCCATCTATTCTATGTTACAGCTATTTATTTTGATCTTATGATCATTCACTTGATGTTGTTTACTTGTATCTTCCCATTGCTATTTAGGACTGTAATTGATCAGTCTCTTATTAGTATATGTACATACTGTGTGGATTGACTCGACATTGCCTTAATTTACAAGCATTATAAGCAAAGACTCGTCAGCTGAATTTACCTGCATCGCAATTTTGCTGTTCACGTCCTATATTCCACTGCTAACCACTATTCATCTTTGCTTAGAAAACTTATCATCATTGTTATTATTATTATTATTATTATAAATTAGCTGTATTTTCTTTCGCATGTTTATTTAGCTGAACAGTGGGAATCATTTCTCACAACAAAGTATCATCAACAATTTAACAAAAGGAAAATAGTATTACTATGCTATCCGTATATATAAATATTTCAGTAACAGCATGATATTAAAATCATTTCCACAAATGAAAGAAGGTGATATTCATATTATTCATGTAAGTTTATATTACCAATGGATTTATTATATAGTTACATAATTCACAACTATTTTGATTTGCTTACATTTTAGAATGCCTGCTGATACATTGAGAGATTGGCTAACATGAATACAGAATAAACCGAAATGAAATATCAAAGTAAGCTTCCTTCTTTTATATTAATACCATTTTACTTTATATACACTATACTACAAACCATAATAATAATAATAATAATAATAATAATAATAATAATAATAATAATAATAATAATAATAATAATAATAATATTTATATGAGTTTAAATGCCATACAGTTTTCATAAGCCTATTTTATCCCACATCTTCTTTATGCCATTTTATTCAATGTGATTACAAAAGATGAAAGATTTTCTCATTTTAATGAATTACACCTTAACGAACTGTTTGTATTTAATGTAGTGTCTGCATTATTCATTTTGATGAATCGGTAAATGAATGAATATTTTTTCATTACTTAGATACTGAGTCGACATTAAATAGTGTTCATGTATCTAAGTTCAGTCAACCAGAGACAGTGAGTGATCATCTTTGATTGTATTTAGTAGGTTACTGTCTTACAACTGACATAGTTGAACTCCTCTGGTCATGGCTTATCATTAAGATTCTAGAAATTTTTCCTCAAAGCTATTCACTAATAAATACTTAGGGGATTCATACTATTCAGGAGTTCTATACTAGGATATAACGTCCATTTAATGTTTACAAGTCTAACTTACTTACTTACTTACGCCTGTTACTCCTCGTGAAGGAGCATAGGCCGCTCACCAACATTCTCCATCCAACCCTGTCCTGGGCAATCCTTTCTAGCTCCGTCCAGTTGTAATTCATCGTTTTCATATCTGCTTCTATTATCCGACGCAATGTGTTCTTTGGCCTTCCTCTTTTTCGCTTCCCTTCAGGATTCCAAGTTAGGGCTTGCCTCGTGATGCAGTTTGACAATTTGCGTAATGTATGTCCTATCCATTTCCATCGTCTTTTCCTAATTTCTTCTTCAGCTGGAAGTTGGTTTGTTCTCTCCCACAGAAGGCTATTGCTGATGGTATCCGGCCAATGGATGTTGAGTATCTTGCGTAGACAGTTATTTATAAATACTTGTACCTTCTTGATGGTGGTTGTTGTAGTTCTCCAAGTTTCAGCTCCATACAGTAGAACTGCCTTGACGTTCGTATTGAAGATTCTCACTTTGATATTGGTTGAAAGTTGTTTTGAGTTCCATATGTTCTTCAATTGTAGGAAAGCGACCCTTGCTTTGCCGATCCTCGGCTTTACGTCTGCATCGGGTCCTCCTTGTTCATCGATGATGCTTCCCAGGTATGTGAAGGACTCTACATCTTCCAGAGTTTCGCCATCAAGTGTGATTGGATTGCTGTTCTCCGCTTTGAATTTGAGGACCTTAGTTTTCCCTTTGTGTATGCTGAGGCCTACTGATGCAGAGACTGCTGCTACACTGGCTGTCTTCATCTGCATCTGTTCGTGTGTACGTGATAGGAGGGCTAGGTCATCTGCGAAGTCCAAATCGTCTAATTGATTCTGAGCTGTCCATTGTATTCCGTGTTTTCCTTCAGATGTTGAGGTCTTCATAATCCAGTCGACCACCAGAAGAAAGAGGAAGGGGGAGAGTAAACAGCCTTGTCTGACTCCGGTCCTTACTTGGAATGCATCTGTCAGCTGTCCTCCATGCACTACTTTGAAGTCTAACTTAGATCGGTTCATAATTTCAGTGAAAGATATTTCATAATTTGATAGTGTCTAAATACCTTTCAGTGATCCGATCAAACCCATGCAGTGTCAGTTACTATTGCTAAATTCATATAACGTATTCGAGCCTCTGGACAAGCCAAATTATCCATCATTCTTGAGTCATGTTTCGACATTGTTAATTACTCACTTACCAACCATGACTGTTTTTTATATGAGCGAATGTGTGTACATTTGTTATCCTATTCACCACATGGTTGTAGCTTATTTTTGTGTAACCATAAATATTGATTAAAGCTTGATTAAATGGAGTTGGTTCACATGCCTTCACCACCACGCATCCTTTTGATTTTTTTTCTCTCTCTCTTCTTTGCTTCATTTGCTGCGATTGTCTGATTGTCTGTTCCGATCAACGAATGTACAAAATACACATATTCAAACATCCATTCTCGTATTTAACTTATTTAATTCCGTTATTCACTAACGCGTATTTATACGAGGATTAACAATATATATATGTCGACAGCAGTTATTCATACATTATCACTGGAGTCAGATCTCGGGCCACTAAACCTATGATTATGTATTTGTTTCCAACTGTCTAAATAATATAACTTACCGGTTTCTTTTAACTTGTTCAGTATGATGTGATACAATGTATTTCATTAGTGACTGAAATCATATAAAGTTTTAAAAGCTCTCATAATGACCACTTAAGTTAATTCTACTTACCTTTATTGATTACGTCATATAAGTAGAAGCTCTAATCTTAAAAAGATTTCCTTTTCTTTTTCATTTGTTTAGAAAGGATCTTTTTTTCCCATATTTTACATAACTTGTATCATCTCAGCTTAAACTAGACACTTCACTATAGAAATGAAAAAAAAAAGACGTACGCATTTTGTACTCTTTAGTCCTATCAGGTGATAATTCAAATGGAAGCAGATAGTAAATGAGTGGTTGTGCAAAAAAAAATGAATAACAAATAATGATTGTCCAAAGTATCCTAAATTTCAGGTTGTTTCCAATACAACACGGTACTAGGATCATAAAGAACTTATTTATTTGTTTGTTTAGTTGTATACACAATGTGTATTTCTTTGCATAATGAAAATGAATTATTTTATTATTATAATTGCTTCACTTACTATATTATTATCAGTATAGGGTTGTGGAGTTTATTAAGTTTTTGATTGAGATCATGAACCGATTGATGTTAGATCACCATTGAAAACCTGAAAGCACTGGATAGCTGTTTTGTGTGACTCTTCAGCAGTGTGCATCCACGATCCCACCTCACGAGATTCGAACTCAGGATCTTCAGTTTCGTGCGCGAACGCTTTAACTCTAGGCCACTGAGCCGGCATTCAATAGTGTTAATGTCTAGCCTTAACCGATTCACGAAATTTCATGAACATCGTCCATTGTACTTGTCACTACCCGACACGGATTAGCTATTGCGGTTTTATTCAATATTATATTTTTGGTACAATATAGAATCCTCAGCACAAAATATTTTAGCGAGTTTTCGTTTCTCATTTCTTGATCGATATTGATGATAAATATTGAGTGATCGCCAGTAAAATATTAGTATTTCAGAAGTTGACATATAAATAATATTCATTCTTTTCAATGCATTCTGCCAGCCATCATGATGTCTCCAGTTTTATGTTTTTGTAAATTGTACAGTGAAAGGTCGTAAACTTTTCACAAACGCACCTGAATAGATTACGCAATTAACTGACATAATGATATATTAAAACAAACAAGGAAACAGATGACTTGTTGAAATATCTAGATAACAGGAACAGGTAACCCAGATATTCAAATAGGCCGCCGTGTTCTTGTTTTCACTTCACTTATTATTTTATTATTTATCTAAAAGGGGATGTCAAGTATATATTATAACAGTACTTATTATGAAATATCTTAATTTTGAAACAATGTAACAATTACAAAGTAAGTCAATCCTGCTAAGGTTAGATTTGACAGTTTCAAAAAAAGAGCATTGAGTAGAAAGTTAGCAATAAATATATTTTCGTTATATCGTAATGAGTAGAAAAAGTTGTATTTCTGACGTTTCGTAACTTAGTGTAAGCCGCTTCTTCAGAGTAAATAAGTAACCGAAATTTGCTCAGGATTAATCAATCAAAATACCCATAGTCATTACTTTAAATCCATTACGGCAATAAAGTGTAACTTTGTCATAAAGTTGTTTAATCAATGGTATTAAATAATCAGATTATGATGGACAGGAACTTGGGAAAATTACAGCCATAATTCTAAAACGTAACTATATAAATAAATACTAAAGAAATGATATATTATAGAGTTCACAGAAAGTACCTTTTTAAATATTCGTAGTGAAGTGGAAATTAATTAATTGAATCTTTTAAAGAAATTTAATTCAAGTATATTGAGTGTGAAGATAATACCTACAAATAATCGTAGATCGTCGGGAACTATCGAGAATTGGTTGAAGTTAAACTTACACATAACTGGATTGCAGCTAATTGGTCTGAACATTAAGCTTTAGTGCAAGACCGAAGGTTCTAAGTCTGATCGTTGATTATGAGGTTGTAGATGTGCAATGATACTAGGATAAAATAATTATCCAATACTATCAGGTTTTCATTGTATTTGACAACTTAGCATGATTTGTTATTTCTACTCAGTTCACGAATCTTCACAAACCTAATACTGACAATGATAGTTCATTTCATTTCTTGTGAATAAGTTTATTATTTCTTGGAATTTAAATTTGTCTAGATATTCTATAGAGTGTCATGAATTATTGATATTTCTTGTTTTCAATCTATTCTATCTTCATTAATCATATTCAATAAGTGAATGAATGGAAATAAACCTCGGATAATATCTCTCTTGAGACTAAAATTTTATGATTGAGAAGAAAAAATCAATTATTCACATGGTTTATTTTATTTCTGTAAATAGTTAAAGGTTAAACTTTTAACTATACTAAAACTATATTGATCAAATTCACTTGGTATTGTATGGCTTATATCTTCCCATTGAGGTGTAAGACTGCAGTTGATCAGTATGCACATATGCCAATAACAGTGTGATCAATTTCAGTCTTAAACATCAATAGGAAGATACAAGTCAAACAATATCAAGTGAATTTAAATTCACCCCAATGCGCAAGCAAGTGGCTATCAGGACTCAGTAGCTAAGTGGATAACGCGATGGTGTTTGAAGTGAATGGTACTAGTTTCGAGTCCCAGAGTGGACATGGACTCTGAGATGCAGGTACATACAGCTGGTGAGTCCCAGGTAGAACGAAACGCGCATCCTGGATTCCACTGCTAGTCACTATCCATCATTGCTTACAAAAGTATATTGATCAAGTTTTCATTTGTCAATCGTATCCTAATAGTAATATAATCAAGTTATTTACTG